AGAGGCAGAGCCAGCTGTACCCGCCCCCTCCCCCATCCGTTCCGCCAGTCAGCGCTGGAGGAATCGGACAGGGGAGGGGGGGAATCCCTGCACGGAGTCGTGAGTGACAGTCACGGCTCTCTGCACGGCTAGATCGAGAAGTGAGCGAACGCCGGTATGTGTTCTCTCACCTCCCGATCTACTGAGCCGACCTGTGACAGTCTCATTGTCACAGGTCGGCTCAGATTATGAGGCTGAGTAAAAATCACTCGCCTCATAATTCTCCTTTAAGGGGAAATCTCCAACACAGAAACACACAAATACATTTAAAAAATACCCTTTTTAAGTAGAAAAGGGGGGAGCCTAGAACCCCCATCAGATTTTTATTGCCGTTTTGGCTGGAATTACAATTTAATGGGCTCACTTGTAACAAGAAAATGGGAAATAAACCTTCAAAATCACCAACACCGATGCCTGGGGCACTGAATGGGACATGTAGGAATTCAATGTGACCTCCAAACTGGGATAACGTGGCCAAATTCACTGAATTTAAATGATCACGAAATGAAGAAGCCCCCCACGATTTATGTAAGAGGGAGGGTGGTTTGGGTTTTGGTGATGTTGTATGCAACCATGCTTCATGTTACAACCTCAATATGTGTGTAACATGACATGAAACACGGTCTAAAACTTCCACTAAGACTTTACAAAATGTCCGGAGGTTCAATGGTAAAATTCATATCGAAATGATAATGAAAACATCCCCCGATATGCAGCATTTTACAGCTATCCAGGATGACAGGGCAGTGGGCCCTCAACAGAATCTCAGAAGCAGCCACATGTAACTCTCCCAGGCGCCTCTGCACAGGTGTTGATGGAGGCAAAGCCTTTATCTGAACATTCCAACCAAACGTGAAATATGACACAGAAGACCTCATTTAATACACAATGAATTGCAATATGAGCACCCCTAGTGCAATGAATTGGGTTTAAACCACTACAGCAAAATAGGAATTTACCTGACGGCCGAGGACAAGATTCAGAACCCTCGGCAGGACCCTAAAACAGATTACCAATATAGGATTACTTGTATGTAAAAATACTTCCATATATTATAGTATTATTATATTTATTCTGCATGGAGGTCGCATGTACTCCCGTGGCTTGTGTGGGTTTCCTGCGGGTACTCCAAAGACACGCTGGAAGGTTAATTGTCTTCGGTCCAATTTGGCCCTAATACTCTATATGTGTGCATGTGCTGTAGATGAATATCCCCTTTCTTTACAATAAAGTGAAGACCCCTTAACTTCTTCTGGCCACACCTTAAAGGAACTATGAGGTGAGTGCTTTTCACTCACCTCTTAGTTCTAGCCGCTGTAGCTCCCTATATACTGAGCCTAGGGTGACGGGAGGACGCTAGTTTGTGTGCTCCCGTTACCCTAAGGAGAACTATGGGGAAAAGCCCTGACCCCGTAGTTCTCCTTTAACTATATAACTATATATTATTTTTTTTTAAGCATGTATTTCTTTATTAGGTTTCAAAAATGAGTATACAAAAGTATAACAAACAGTTGTGCGTTGGTATTCAAATAAGAATATACACAAAAAGACCCAGCCGGGTTCTTGTCTTATGCTTAGTACACACTATCATCTTATGAATATATAATAGTAAAAACAAAACTGTAACTGTCCGTCACTGGGAAGAACATTGATAAAATGGAGATATTTTATATTTTGTGTCAAAATACAATAAAACCACATTTTACCCAAAAGTAATAAAATATGACTCAAAGTTTTTATGTAAAGGCTACAAAAACGCCATATATTATCACCTTCTCAGAACATATTACATGGACACGTCATGAAGACATCTTATTTGTGGCCAATGACCTGGGTTACATCAGTTCCAAGAGACTCAATAACAACTAGACATGTAAGCTGAGGAAACATTTCGGATATTTCGTTATTCGGATCCGAAATTCAATTTGGTTCTGGTTTCGGATTCGGACGAGTTTACGAATACTTATTGCGAATACCACAGAAAACCATTTACAGGTATTAATACTAAAGCTGAGGCTCCCAGACCCGAATGGTATTCAGGATCCAATGCCTCCCCAAAAAGGGAGGACTGTGCTGGACAGAGCTGCCATCACCAAGCAACTTTTCTAGTGATATGCAATACTAATTGTATATGTGCTCTCAATCTATACCGCATACACATAACAACACACGTATATGCCAAATGCTATTGTTATCTGCAGAAATCACATTATACCCAGATAGTGCTAGATGTCCCCGGTGCTTCTGGGCTCCGAAGCATTCACATGGCCAGTAGTTACTTAATCTGAGAGACTAGAGGAGAGTCTCCACTGCTGTTACACCTTTGACCTTGCCAGCCAAGACTTCAACCCCGCAGGTACCGGGAGGTCAATCCACTATTGCTCACAGCTCAAGGAACCCCTGGCAACCTCTAGAGCCTTGGTTCTCAACTGGTGGGTCGTGACCCAAAAGTGGGTCGCGACCTCATGTTCAGTGGGTCGCCGCATGCCTTCCACTTTTCTAGGTGAGAGGCTCCTCAGCCTCCCCCTAGCGCAGCACTGTCCGTTCTAACTCCAAGCAGCCATTCAAAATATGCTGCATGGTGCAGAGTGTCATCTTGAGGTGGGGCGGGCTGGGGGTATGGCCGCGTGGGAGCTTCATCCGTACATGCATTGCTTACACCTTCCTCACGTGTCCTGTAGAGGTGCCTGGACCGGTGTGATGTCACATACTGGCTCCTGGCACCTCTACAGGGCACGCAAGGGAGCTGTACAAGCGATGCACATATGGATGGAGCTCCGTCAAAGCACAGCAGCCCACGCTATACCCCAGGCTGAGCATCCATTCCAGTTCTCAAGGTAGGGACACTGGGTGGATTTAAAAAAAAAATTCGGGGGGGGGTATGTGTGTGAGTATGTGTCTGTGGTTGTGTGTGTCTGTCAGTGTTTTTGAGGGCCCGTTCACACTAGTACAGTGCGTTAATCGCACTGTACCACGCAACTGCATGTACCGATTCTGGTGGGAGAGATGCATTGAATGGCACCCCAAACTCACCTCCCACCCACAGTTCTATTGCCCGCATCGGAACGGGCGGTACCGCAATGCCATGCGTTCCATTGCAGTGGAATTTGGGCCACGACTTAAGGACCAAGGACAAATGTGGGTCCTGAGGTTACACAGGTTGAGAACCACTGCTCTAGAGGACCCCTACTCTTCCACAGGACCCTGGTGAAGAATGACCACATTGACCCTGGAGGAGTGGCTCAGTGGGATCCTTCTGCAAATGTGAAAAGCTTTAGAGTTGCTTCATATATATGTATTGATACGCTTTAGGGGGGGGAACTTAGGAAACATCTGAGGTTATATCAGGTTCCATAACACAGTAAAGTTGCCGAGTGCAATTATTTCCGTTACCTCTGCCACTAGTAACTCATCCATATCTGCCTCGGACGGCTCCTCTGCTGTCTCCTGGCGGCCAGATACGGGAAGCTCGTCCATCCCAAAAAGTTTCTCGTAGTTGTTGATAAGAAATTCGACGGCTTGTGCCTGGTAGCCGGAGTCCAGCAGGCAGGTCATGGGCTTGTCCAGCCCGGGAGATGGACGGATCAGCGTCGGGCCGAAGATAATTCCCAGGTTATTAGGGTTCATTTTGTTCTCCTCGAACCTCCCTGAAACACTGGAGATAGACAGAGGGAGGATGTGTTTACTCTTCACACTTCAAATCAAAATCCCCCAATGTAATGGTATCTGAAACTTACATATGACACCACACATATGTATTCTATAGATTAAAGTGTATCGAAAGCCAAAGCCAAGCAGTGTAAGAACCTCAATCTGACTTTTCAGTTTTGGATAGAGACCAACTCCAGGATTTCGGAATCTTTTTAATATTTCATTGTTTCAAGCGTCATTCCACCCACTTCCTGGGGGCCCAGGTCACAGTAAACGCATCACCTTGGGTTGCGTCATCACATTTGGTGGCTTGGGTTTACACCTTTTTGGAATGTCATTGTACTTAGGACAAGAGGTGAGATGAAATCTTCCATTGGGGACATCTGTCCTGGTGACAGCTATCTAAGAAAGGAATTCATCTCACTTCGTAGAGATTTTCTCTTACTTCCTGTTTCATCTCATGGACAGGAAGTGGAGAGAAGTTTCCGTCAGAGGAGACTGACAGAGGAGACTGTGCTTTACAGCAGGGCTGTGTAAATCTCAGGACTGAATGCAATGAAATACAAATGGTAGACTTTGACTTTGGAACCTTCTGGATCAACAAATCAACCCCCCGGAGTGTCTGGATATAGGTGTCCTCCCACTACATGAGGTCTAGGTTTGTAGTGGGAATTCCTCCTCCTTACCGATAGAGGTGCGCCGTTAGGTGGCGGAGTGTATTGTAGTTACTAGGTGGGAGTCGGCAAAGAATGCTCTTCATACGTTGAATGGCCTCGTGTTGATTCTCCGGCTCCTTCCTCTCGTCCAGGAAATCCTTTGAGAACTCCATAAATTCTTCATACAGGCGATGGGAGACCACAGAGTCCGGGAGCTGGAGGGAACACAGCCAATGTCACCACCGGAACTAGTAATTCACAAAACTATTATCACTTATTTTTGGGTAATCTGCTTATGAACCTCGGCAGAGTTCACCAGTCAAGCCAGTAAATTTTGCAAATTGATGACTACCGGCCTGCAGCAATCACAATTACTGGAGAGCCTCAGACTATGGGTCATACCCAGGACCTGCCAGTCATCAGGACCACTAATAGGGAGAGACAGGTGCCCTCCTGTATCGGGCCCCATTGGGTCAGCAAGGGGGTCCTGGTCATGGCTGTCCTCTGACAATTCAGGGAACAATGGCCTTGTTACAGGGACCTCTCGCTGTAGGCAGTAGGAAATGGGAAATCCTACATCATATTAGTCCAAAGGGAGCCTGAGAGCAGGACATGTGTGCAATGGCCAATGGAGATTTCCAAGATTCACGGTTAACTACTTCTAGCCAGTGCGGAGGACATGGCTGGAAGGAGCTCACCCACGGGTCCAGAGCTGTCCAATCACATCTGGCCTGTTCATTATGAAGAAAGGGGAGAGTGGGTGGAGGAGATGGGGGAGATGAGTACCCTGTCCTGACCGGAGGAGGGCTGCAGTTTGGCCACCTTCATGCACCCTGTACTGAGAGAACAACAGGTACCAGCATGGCCTCTGCCTACTTTGCTACAAGCGTGTGCTGGGCTCAGTAGGGCTGCAGCCTGTTCTTCCCTTATACAACAATGGGGCAAAACATGTAGCCTGGGAGCACAGGAAACAAATACATCTTATGCTCCTCAGCTCCATCTAGTGGCCATAGTGAGGTATTTTCCTGATATTACATTCCACCTGGAAAGAAAATATACCAGTAACATATGTTTTTGCCTCTATTCCCACAGAACGCACATGCATGCAGTTTCACGGAATGGATGGCTCTACAATTTTTTTTACAAATACACCCCTTAATCTCTGCAGTAGCATCCTTACCGTATCTGGTGCCTGAATCTTCAGTGCTTAAGGTTACCAGTCTGTGACCTCAGCATTACCAATCTGCTTTTATAACCTTCTTGTAGACAGCTGGACAAAGTCGAATTGCCGATACTTGCTTGCCAAGTAGCCAGTTAATAATGAGCCCCCCTCCCAATGTACCATGTGGATTTCCTTTGTAAAAGATCTGTGCTATATGATATACTGTATCTAGAACCCCATTCCAAGGTTGATCCCAGAATCCTCTCTGCTCGTCTATGGTTTACGGTACCTCTTTGAGAAAGTGTTTGAGGGCGCTGGTGATGTCATGTGGCGAATGCCCCGACAAGTCCACTAGCTCGCGTCCATTCTCAAAGGCCTGCAGGAGTTTCTCCACCCGGGCTTTGGCTCCACTGATACGGTACAGACCCTGGAAGGCAAAACAAATAGAGTTCATCTATCAGAGGAACACGTGGGCCGCCATAGCTGGCCTCCTGAACATGGAATGAAAGTTGCCTTGCTGTGTCTGACTTCAGAATTTCAGATGAAGCATCCAGCAAATGATAGTCTGAGAAAAGTCAGAACTTCTTATCTTCTATGTGTTCAGGGTCAGTGAATGAGGAGGTACCACAGACATTAGCAGGTTGCCAAGCTTGTAGCACTTTCAGAAGGAGGTAAGCAAAGCCCCCCCCCTTTTTTTGAAACCAAGTTGCCACAGTCAAAAAAAGTCAGAATATGTACTTACCCTTCCCCTGACTTATATAGGTAACATCATTGATGGATATCTCTTATGGGAACTTACATTGGTCCACTTCAAGTATCCAAATCTGATATCCCTCGGGTCACTGTAGACACTGGAAATCCTCATAGTAGTCCAATCTACATACAGTGATAGCCGGGATCTTCTATCTATGGCTCCAGCAGCTTCCCCTCTGCACACTAAACACAGGCAGTCCCTCAATAGAAGGAGTTTTCTGATTGGACAAGATGGAGATAGTGATGTCATCCTCTCCTACTTATTTCAGGTATTTATAAAGCACCAACAATAGTGCACATCCACATCAGTCCCTGCCCTCAAATCTAAGGTCCCTATCTCACATACAGGGCCAATTTAGACAGGAGCCGATTAACCTACCAGCATGTCTTTGGAGTGTGGGAGGAAACTAGTGTACCCAGAGGAAATCCATGCAAGCACAGGGAGTACCCAGAGGAAATCCATGCAAGCACAGGGAGTACCCAGAGGAAATCCATGCAAGCACAGGGGGTTAC